ATCCGATCAAGAGTTGAAAGCTGCCTTTCATTCTATCATAAATGTGACACAAATGCCCAATTTCACGGTTCGTAGCGGCAAATGTGATATCTGTATAGCACAAATAGTATCTCCAGCATGCCGATTTTATGTAGAAATCAGTAAGTCAAATGATCACTACATGTTTGACCTATCCAAGAAGTGCTGGCACGCAACAAAGCCAATTGCATTACGATAACTTGGCGGAACTGAAGGAACTGGGAGTAGCTACTGCATCCATACATGGTATTCCACACACTTGTCTCAATGTCTTGCGCTCACCCCACTCAAGTGCCAGGTACACATAGCAGGTGTCATTCAAATTTGTTTGCTCTGCAAAACGCCTTCACCTAGGTTTAGGAACTGTTCATCTTTTCCCGTCACATTTAAGTGGCAGTAATAAAAACGACGACAATAGCTTTTTCGCCTAACAAGGTGTTAAATAACCCACTTAGAATTGTCTGTTCATACTGTCTACGGTCTATAAGGCGAAATTACGTGCCAAAATTGTCAGCTGCTGGCAGTAATGTCTAGCAATGGTTGCGTAACTAGTATTAACTCCTATTATTAAATGGATAATTCATAGAGACTTGGCTGATTTGGCGATACGTGCAAATTTACCACCATAGAATTTTTATAATATTATTGCCAACTGACAAAAGGCTGTTATTCTTCTTGGGTGGGTTATATAATGAAAAAATTGTGTTAAAAAATTATCTCAAGTTTCTGTTTTAACGGAGGCATGCTTTTGCGAATGTGTTATTAGGATTACCCATAAATGGTCACATTTTGTTGCTGACCTAGAAGCCTATTTTCGGTGTAGACTTTCTGACTTGAAAAAGGAAATCAAGCGTATTGTTTGAAGGGTTCAGCCATTTCATTAATGACAACCTCACCTGCTTCCTTTACCATGATGTGGATGTGATGTAATGATACACTTAGACAATGTCATATGTAATGATGGAATATACAAGCTCTTGGTCATTCCTGCTAAAGAGCTCCTTTAACAAGTTTTACCTTCATCTTGTGGATCTCACGAGTGATAGGGTGTTCCTGTGTTCACTGAGTGGTTGTGTTTAGTGTGGCTATAGAGGTGCCTTTCTTGCGAAACTTCTCAGCAAAACATAAGTCGATGGTCTAGTAAAGAGTAAGTCAGCACTGACCATGGATCACCACGTCTATTATTGACGATGGCGGAAGTTTACTTCGTTCATTTATCAGGTTTCTTCCTTCACATCTTTCCGTTACTTTAATGTGACCAAACTCTCCCATGTAAAAAGGGCAAAGTTTACACTGTCAAACATGGGAAATTCCATCATTTCATGCTGTTCCATGAACAGCTTCACCTGCTCTCTTGCCTATTGTCTAGAATATAAGGGTAGGGTGAATAGGTCCTAGATTTCATGCATTAGAAGAGGCTCTTTTTTAAGGTGGAATAAGTTAAGCTTCCGGAACAGTTATTTTATTGAAGAAAATTGGGTCATTTATGCACCCAAATACGAGCATCTTGACCCAGGTGCCCCTATTGAGGGAAACAACTTGGCAATGCCTTCCTGGTAAAAAAATGTTCCCTAAAAGTCAATCCGCAGAACTACTTGTTATTGCTACCTTCGTAAGTTTTTAAGCCTACCTTGCAATGAAGTTTAGTGATTAAAATAGCCCAAAGAGGATCCAAGTTGTCACTTGATACTATAAATTGCAGAAAGGCTCAGTTTTTTCTCCATTATGTCAAGATCACGTGCACTAATTTAGCAAATGTATGAAATAGGCAGAAGGGTAAGAGGAAGGTTATATCTGCAGACAGGTTTTGGTAAGTGATCTTCGAATATGTCGCGTCAGCAAAGGATACCTTGTCAATTGCATGTGCAGTAATATTTTGAATGAATTCAATCTCTTACATTAAATTATACTTAGTAAATTTACCAGAAGATAAATTTTGAGGAACCATTTATAAATCGCTGTATAATACAGCTCTTCCTGAGTGATGGACAGTGCTTGAATATATTTGAAAAATTCAGTAGTGCTTGAAGCAGTGTAGACGCATTTCAGAAGGCAAACAAATTTCAATGACATTTATTAAGTTTGACCAGTAATCGAGTTGAGCGAGGTCAAAAGAACGGAGGACAAATGCGCCTCACATCGCCTATTAGTAAGAGCCGTTACAAGCATTTCCAGTTTTAATGTGTTATCTTGGGAAGAAAACACTTAAAATATCTAAACACAGTATCAAAAACAGATGGAATCGTAGGCAGGACATTTAACTCACTAATTTCTACTTCTCAAAGAGATCATTTTTTGGCAAGAGTTGTGTTATAAGGGTCAGAAACTTAGTGTTATGGTAGCGCATTAACGCGGGTACATGGAATTTGGCCTCAAGCCTCGATATGACTTATCGTGAAATGTGAGTGGATAAAGTGCCACCTTACGTAGACGATCAGAAGTTAAAAGATCTTTAAGCATATGACCTCTAGGGGTCCCGTTTAACGTGTTCCTATAGGCTATAGTTATTGATCAACGCCGGAGTAAATTTGGTTTCACTGAATTGTTTTAAGAGGCAATTATTTGATTTTCTTGGTCAGTAGCTAATGGAGATTAGAACCTTCAAAAGGTCACTTTAAGTCATTTGCTCACCAAATAAGCCTCAAGTAAATAAACAATTAGCCTAATTAAAGAAAATATTTCTGAGTATTTTCCAGAATGCTTAATAGAAAACCGGGTTACTAACCATTTTCAAACTGCATGCTTTTCACATTTTTCTTCTTAATGAAACTTAGTTTGCCTTCTGTATAAACTTATGGTGTTAGATCCGCACGATTTTTTGTAAACGTCATCTGCACATTAATGAAAGCTATTCAGATTTGGATTTTTGTCCTAAATTTTATTTTAAAAAGCTCTGTTGCCATGTTTCACTGACCAGGATTTGCAAAGGTTATTAAAGTTTGTGCACTTTTGACCATGTCGTGAGTTAACGCTACTTTTCCTCACCTTTACTGAGTATTGCGCAGTTCGACTTCCCTTCCCAAGCGGTAATGGTATTCTTCTGGGGCCAAGCATGCTACTGAATCCTCTATTTTTACATATTTATAATTTGTTCTTCCAATGTCACTGTTGAGCCAATATGGTGCAACAACACCCCGAGCAAGTGGTTTTCCTCCTATTCAAGACCGTCTTCGATTTGCCCCCTTTTTTGTAGATTAAATAGTATTGTACAATAAACAATTCTTCTTTATGAAGCTTCGACTGCAAAGTTATTTCGTTGCTCTGTGATAGTTGCGTAAAAACATTAAGACAGAGCTAAAGACTAGTATTCATGATAATTTATTTGTCTAAAGTTTCAGCAAAATCTCAGCAGTCTCAATGCATCTTTAAAACGCATTCTAGGTGATAATCATCACTGGTTTAATGATTGTTGTCTGCCTTTTGTCAGTTAAGATTGTTCAGCTATGGGTAAATTACAACATGCTGTAGGAGTTTCCGGGTCAGAAAATACATACAAAAGATACTTTTGCTTAGAAAACTGACTGCTCATCAGGATCGGAAAGATGTATAGTGAGTCCTCCTCTTACGCAGTCTGCACTTAAATGACAAAAATTCAGCTCGTCCGCTTCAAGTCAACCAAAGAATAAAGTGGTTCAGAGCCTGTATCTTGTAGAAAAATGGCTTGAAAAACAACGTGGGTAGTAGATGCCGCCATGCTACCTCTGAAATTATGTATAGTAGTGCCAATTGGGAGGGAAATTTTTTCTAAGAATAGAAAATGAACACAAAAACTGACTAGGTGGTTTGACTCGCTCGGAAAGCCTTTTAGTTGATGAAACGTGTATAAGAAGATGGCGCCTGTGTGATGTAGAGATGCAGTCTTATGCGTTATCCAGAGCTTGACAGGAAGTGCTCATAGAACACAAAAAAGAAGAGGAAGGGTGTTTCCATTGCGAGCAATAAATGAAGGAAATTGTATGCCTATTTCGTGGTTATTGAGGGAGTCGCATTTCCTCCTTTGAATTTTCCTATATCCACGCATGATGGGTGTTATGTTAGGCGTAACGTTGGCTAACCCACTATTGAAACGGAAGGAGTATCCTTGATATGCCAGTTGACAGATTGATTCAGACGGACACTGGTGGAGAAATCTGACCTAATCCGCACCATCTATAATTGTTTATTTGGTAGTTTGTTGTTCTTTTAGTCAGTCATTTGGTTTCTTAGTCGCTCGGCCGGCAAAATAAGGGATTGTGAATAACAGAAATCGACTGACATTTGAGAAGACTCCTTTTCTATTATATTGACTAGATTAGTTGGTCATTAGTTGCTGATTGCGGAGATAATCTTCCCGGAAGCACATCAACTCATCTAGTTAAGTCGCCTTACACTGTCCTACTAATGCGTGTCTAATAACCTTTTACTTTTAAGAGTGCAAGAAGATAAATTTGTTAGTTATGAGCACGGAAATTTGAAAAGTTGGATGATGTGATCACAATACTTCCCCCTTGTTAACGAAACTAGCTACCAACAACCTCCCTTTTAAGGTATCAGTTTGATTTCTTTGCTTTAGATGAAATGTCTTGCGAGAAAATCTAGGGCATGGGTTCGCTAGTGGGAGAGATGAGTTAAGCAGCACCGGAAAGTTTACTTGATAAATGTGTTTGGTTCACATTGTATTTAGTCGCCTATCACATGTGCGATCCCCCGACAGATGAACATCTATACTAAAGCCCTTCTCTATTAACTCACACTAACGACATTCTGACCACAACCCATCGTCTACGATGCCGTCATTTCCTACTGACTGAAGATCTACCCATTCCAGTTCCAGATGTTTAACTGGCAATCAGAGGATAGGACGAAGATACAGATTAGCCTTTACCAATGCCATTGACTACTTCAAGAGACGAAGCACCTGTTGAGGTAAAGGAATATTCGCCACATCTTTTTCACCATTTTGTACAACTTAGTAGATCTTTTACAGGTAGTTCAGCCACAGCCTATTCTGTATCTTTCCTGGAAAAAGATGAGTCTTGTTTGTCACAAAGCAGACACTCAAGGCTCCTTTTTCATGCAATAAGGCAAAAACATATGTGTAAAGCTCAAATCCAATTTTCTTTTGTAAAACTTGAGAAGAATTAAACTACGAAGGAGTGAAAGCAAAGCTGGTTAATTAAATTTCTTCAAAATACATTTATGACACCTGTACGTGCATTTGAGGCGACCAAGAATTTCGTATTGTTTTTTAGTTTAACTTGTCACTTTATCGTTTCTGCCTATAAATTGTGATTGTCTTATGCAAAATGAATCACATACAGACGTTTACCAGCCCAGAGATCCAAAATTACTCTAGTTTTTACCACTTTTCGCCTATTTGAACTTGCGTGCCATCAAATGTGGGATGAAGTGGACACCACTTCAAGCATCTTTACTCCAGGAAGTAAGCTATAAAATTGTTCGTGGATTTTTTATAACGGATCTTAAGAAAATGCACAAAAGTTAGTAGGTTTGCTAAAAAGTGGACCTGCGACCTTATCACTCAAAAGTGAGTACGTGGTAAATGATTTTTTTTGTCAAGGTTGAAGTACCTTTGTCTAGTTACGCACGCTGTGGACATCTGCATCACTCTTAGACTCAATTTTGTCCTCAAAACAGGATTTCGTGTAAATTTGTCCGGATCCACAAATCCATGTCTAGCAGTCATTTATACTTTGTGAGTGGTTAGAATCTATGATCAGGCTATTCCCCGAATTCAATAAAAGCTCGCATTCAGGTCTAATACCTCAGTTAACCCTTTACCTAGAGAAATGATATCCGGAGTTAAAAATATTTTATAAAAATGAAAATGACATCACATTTTGTAACCTGTTTAAAAATAGATAAAATGTAAACAAATGTGGGGGTAAATATAAGTAAAAGATACAAAAATAAGTAGCAAACACTGTATTTTTACATTCAGCGTCATAAGAGTGCGAAAAGGCATTTAATAGGACTAGAAGAAAGGCGCTCATTGCACAAAAGTACATTTTTGGGTACTTGAAATTCTTTCGCATGTAGTGAAACCTAAATCGGAAATCCTCTAATTAGCCTTATTCATTTGCCTCCTGCTTTCTTGTAGAGTGCACCTTGAAAAAGCAACCTTTTAGGTGTAAACAGATTTTGCAGGTTAATTACACTTTCCGCCTTTTACTCACCTTAATAAAGCCACTAATTTACTTATTTATTCTGATGTTCGTTTGGAGTCCTATAGTTCTCAAATGTTGCCTTCCAGTGGAAAAATTTTAAGTGGATTTGTCTCTTTTTTCTTTAATATCGTTTCATCACTTTAATTGGCTTTATAAGCTTTGCAAACCTATGGGGCCGACATTGCAATTTATGTCAAAATTTATCCTCTTATTTTTGCTTACTTTCAATGTAAAGCTTAAAAGACAATAACAGTTGAAGGATTTAAAATCTATTAAAAATTTAGGTGCAATTTATGTTCGATTCAACAGTCTAGATTCACAAATCTGGAATCCTTGTTGAATATTAGCCCACAGCTTATTCCCACAAACACCTTGCTCACTAAAACAAAGATCTTCCCAACTTGGTCAACAAAAAATTTATGGAATACTTTGTTTCAATTTAAGCAAAAGTAGTACACCTCACTTTTACATATTTTTTTAGAAATTTTAGACGTTACTCAAGGGATTTTCCAACAACCTACCGCCTTGGTCAGGCACGATTGTAGTCTTGTCAAGTGCACCCTACCCCCCATGTCTCACGGGTTCAAAATGAAAGGGGACATGCAGAGAATAAAATGAGGTCTGCCCCGTCTGTTAGTAAGCGACTGTCTGTATTCCATAATGCATAGAACAAGTCAAATATTGTTGGTGAGGGCGTCCGAGTAATAAGCTGCGCTTTTAGAGCCCTAATTATCCGGCCACCTTATATGCATGTAGAGATGTGGTATCTGTGTTGTGTTTGACACGGTTTTGATTTATCTTCTACCTCCTTACGTGATAAGGGAACTTTAAATGTCCGTTCTTTGGCAAGAAGTCTCATTTCCTTTAGAAGAAAGGTATGTATAAGTCGTATATAAAATGCCTATGAAGGATTGATTATGATATGCACGAATCTTAGACAGATTTCTTAGATATATTTTACCTCAACAAGTAATTTTTTTCGTGCAGTCGCAAAAACATTGAGAGAGGTGGATCTGTCTTTTCCTCCTGACTTCCTTCCCAGCGATCGGAAATATGCCATCACTAGTAGGTGGGGCCGCTAGCGATTACAGATAGCTAAAGTGAAAATGAGAGGCCATAATAAAAAACCACATTTGTGCAAATCGTTTCCACAAACTGGAGGGGATAATGCCATATGTCACTGCAGAAGACGTATTTGGTGGCTCATTTGTGAAGCAGTGAAGGGGCGAATGATGGTAAGTCTGTGTTATGGATGAAAGCTTTGCTTAGTCAGCAAGCAGATCCTTAAGTAGACAATGGCCCCGTTGGAGACGTCTATTTGCGGCGGTGTGCGTGTACGTGGCATTGACTGCATGGTAAAATGTACCGGAGACTCAAGGATGTTTCCGGTATTTGATGGACGTGTCTTATAACACATATAAGTATAGCATTTTATTGTAAAACTGGTTATTGTGGATCAATGAGGCGAAAACAGGTAAGGGGATGGCGTTCTTGAGTCTTCAAAAAATTCAAAATGAGTAAACAAACTTTTGAAAAGTCAAATTAAAAGCTTTTTCAAATAGTTGCAGTCATCTACAGCAGGTGGCTTACACTATACAGATGGAAAAGATATCATTTCTTTTTATCTGTCCCTCTCATCATTAGGTTGAGAAGGCTGTTTATGCAGTTTTACTAAACATTGCTAATGGGTTAAACGAGAAAGAAGTAATGTACGTAATAAGGATAGTAGTATTCAAAAGCTTTATATAAAGTACAGTATAGAGGGAATTAGCTGCTAAATGCTAGCGCTTTCCCTTTTACCATCACTACTAATAAATCGGCAAGTATTACTTATCGTTCACGAATAACACAATGCATTCAAACATGCATACATCCACTTATAATTAAAGTCGCTAATTGTAAGTGCATCACATATTCACATGCATAATCATGACAATAAACACGTAGTTTTGATACTGCAACAAAAAACAAAAAGTGAAAGATTGTTAATTAGTAGATTCAACTATTTTGCCTTTGCATTAAACATATTAAACAGTAAATAATTTGGCATATTTTTTGGCTGCTTAACTCAGCCATGTAAATCTAATCATTGACAATGTGATTGGAAAATTTACCAGGCTTCACAGATAAAAAAGCAAATCTGCGGTCCAAGAATTATGCCGCTTTGGGTTCAGGCCAACTTGCAAATAACTATTCAGGTGTGGAAATAATGCCACATTCCCAAAAGATGTTAATGAAGTAAAGGGAGCCTAACATTTTGACAAGGTATTTTGAGCTGAGAAAATATTCTGCTATATCTATTAGTATTCGTACTTAGCACAAGAACGAAATCACGCTTTATGAGTATCATTGTGAATACCGTCATAAAACAAATAATGATCCTGTAAGATCTTTGCTTCACTACAAGTTATGTAGATCATTGTTTACTACATGTTATTCATCCATCTAATGAGCAAACTACAAACAGATAAATCGTATAACACTCACTGACCATTGTCAAAAGTGCTATGAAAATATTGCGGTGATCTATTTACACACATCACGTGTCACCAAATAGGCTTAATTCCTACGACTTATTTAGTTCATGGAAGGAATAAAAGTGTTTCTTTATTTAGGCTCAACATTACTGTAAGTATCTGACAACTGTAACATGCAAATTTGCGTAAAGCAGCATTGACCGTAGGCTTGGAAGTGATTAGATCTTCACATGATTATTCAGCAGAAATTGGATTTCTTAGGCTACTCCAGACAGAGACAGAGGTTTTAAAAAAATCTGTAATTTCAGGCCCTAGGTAAATGCTATTTGCTAAGAAGGTTAACGTGAACAACATCCATCGGGTACAACAGGCGTTAAAGTGGGGATTCTAAAGCCAACCAGAATTTAAATGTGACGAGTAGTGAGTATTAGCAATTGCAATTCATTTTTCTACTAGAATTAACAAAATTTTGTCCAAAGATGGGCCTTGATAGGCTCAAACGTTTCCCAGGTATGTCAATCATATGGGGAATTTGTATGAAGAGATGAGTGGAATGGAAGGCAAGACGTGTGTCTAACTGCCTTAGCCATCGCAAAGCAACTCATCATGAGGGTGTCATCTGCGTCATGGCTATTAGATGCTGCCTAGTAAGAACCACAAATTAGGAGTTTTGCTTGCGCGTTTATACGAGAACATAGGGTTGAACCACAAATTTCCATAGGATTTATCGGGAAGTAGTGAATGATGGAAGTGTCGCTTTCAGGAACTTCAACCTCTATCAAACTCCCCAATTTCAATGAAAAAGAGTAATTTTCTATCCATTAGTAGGAGAATTTTTAGTGTAACAGAAGTATTGCAAGTAGGAGTTGAGTGTTGTTTGTCGTTAAGATTTAACCGGGAAAGTCTTTAAATATTTGTCTCGTCATTTAAATCTAAGGAAAAATAGAAGAATTGATAATTAACTTATTAGGACGAAATGGTTTGAAAGTGGTTTAACATGTTAACTTGTCTAAATGTAACACAAGCCATTTTTCAATTGTCCTACGAGCATTTATTGAAATTTGGCAAAAGTTGATATACATTCTAAACTTTGTTTTAATCAGGCTGCTTCATTATTTTGTCCGCCAGTATTTACACTGGTGAGTAGAATTTGCAAATTTCTGATTACATCGAGGCTCCACCCCTCTTCCACTCCTCAGTCGCATCTATCAATGCGATATTCAAGTTCAGTCGCTGCTCTCTTCGATGACAATTGCATAATTCCTTTTCGATTCCAAAATGGTAATGAGCTTGTTGTGTCGTCGGATCTACTTCATCATCCCCTGCTTCCATATGTCTACAATCTATTCCGCCATTGCTCTTGTCGGGCTATGTTGCATAACGATACCATCATGGCTGATACTATATCAGATGAGGTTATTGAAGCTATAGATTACCGCCTTCAACATTCCATCTTTCACTTAGATTACGTTGAAATGTACCAGATACCACTTTATTTCATGATACTTCGACCTTTAAGCAGTCATTCCTACTTGCTCAGCTAATTCCAAAAAATTATTTGATCTAAAATTGAAAACAGACATTTTTATTAAGTAACTTGGCTATATTGTAACTTGGGAAATTGCCATGGGTTTAGTGCATTTTAATGTCCAACTTACATAAGTCGAAAATAGAATAATTTTAGAGACCTAAAGGGTGATCCACACCCATGGTGTTTGAGGTCCTTGAATTGCTTGACTAACTTATGAATAGCCAAGCGCCATTTTGTATGGCATGACTAAAGAGTTCTGTCTCATTACGCCAAATGCACTTCAAGGCAGTTTTTCTTCGTTTATTAATTGCCTTTGGCCTGAATAGAGTGTACGCCGGTAGGTATATTTCAACACGTTGAAGCAGCTAGGGGGCCCCTAAGTACAGATCAGTGAGCATGGGCAATGCAGATATCTTCGCTCGGAACGCTGACTTATGGTTAAGACCTGAAAGGTGATCAGTGAGTTCTCTTTCACATGGTCTGCCTTGAACGGCAAAATTTAAGCCCTTTTCATTCGGGCTAACCATGGAGTGAAGTAGCACAACGCCTGCATTATGCAGGAGGAAGTCGAACAGAACAGAGCCGGAAACCAGAAGATGGTATTCCATCCCACATTGCATCCCGCCACTTTGGTTGGAATATAAATAAAATGGCGTTTTTAATAAGAAAATTATCCTTATTTGCATTTAAGAATAACTGACATTAGTAGACAAGGTCGTTTATCTCACTCAAGTCATTTTAAGCCAGTGAAATTCGCGCAGGGAAAGATGGCACCTTTAGTATTTGTAGATGTGGTCAGAAGCTTTAGCATAAGTTTAAAGCGCAAGAAATTAAGAAGGGAGAAGAAATCTACACAGTGACGAAATAAAGAAAGATCTTAATCTAAATTCGTAGTTATTAAGAGAAGCAGCGTCATCCTTGGAGAATGGTGCACACGCAGTAATGGAGTGTATAATGATAGGCGAGTTGTTGCCTTGTTATGTCATTTTGTGGCATTTCATTCAGCTCCACTAACATACTGATGAACTGCAACGAGAAACCCCTGGTTAGTCAGTTGTCAATTTTGGGCTGTTCGTTTGGTCAGGTTGTCGGTCAATCAGCCGGTAACTTTGAGCGACGTCAGATTGTAAAGAGCGCTTAGCAATCGAGGTGGGTACCTATCTACTGTTCGAATGACTATGTTAGTGGATCAGGTGTTGCTAAGTGAGGAGGACTTAATTCTGGAGTACGGGACAGATGTTTAGTTAAGTCACTTGCTGCTTTTCCACAGATGTTTGGCAGATATTTGTGCACGATTACTTGTGCTAGACAAGAAAGTATGCGACTAGTAGCATGACCATTTACAAAGTGGGAGGTTGTGTTTACAATAATTCCGCTTAGTCAATTAAACAAAGAGTTAAAAATAGAAGAAAGCCAGATCAGTCAATAAGGCCGAACCTTTGTTAGAGCCGTAAGCATCCATCCATCCTTCCATCTATTCAGACATACTTTCCGAAATTCATCCATCCCGTATCTTTTCTGTACAAACCCATCATTGAAAAACCCATCAAACCATCCATCAATTTTCTATTCAATCATACAACAACCCATTCATTTATCAGTCTATCCATCCAAATTCCGTCTCGTAGCCATTTTTATATTTACCCAGCTAACAAGCCACCCAGATATCCATTTTATCCATTCCTTGAATCATCCATTTTTTTATCCAAAATCCCCTCATCCAGACTTCTATTCTACAAGCCGACTAACCAAAGAGCCATATATGCATCCGTCCATCAGCCCTTAAGTTTAACAAACTATATAAAGCAGTTTTGACCAAAGTATTTTAAAAATATTTGGAAGGCGCAAAATCTAGGACATCAGATTACAGCAGAAGGTTGTCGACAGTAAACACTTCCCCATATTTTAGTCTTTTATTTGCTACCCTCTGGGTAAAATATGCACAAAATAAGGACTCAAACTTATGACTTGGTGTCTGCATGCTAAAAATGTTTGCAACCTCTCACTCCTCCCATCAACAGAAACTTTCCTGTTTGATTGCCAGGAAGACTTCATTTTCATGGCTAAGTCTAGTGCAATTTAGAATGTCGCTCTCTTGATCATTTCCTTCTGAGTGATCAAGATTACTTTCATATGCACTTTAAATGCGCTAATATTTATTATAAGGTAAAGACCAGTAGGTAAATATAAATATTTGCAGTATCTTTTAGCCTCTACCAAATGATGGCGTGGCATAGATAAAGGGGTCCAATAAGCTTCAAGGGCATAGAAGTGTAGTAGAATAGTTGGTTACCAGTGTATAGAAGGAACACTGAGTTGGTGTAACTAAGGTAAATAAAAGAACACTTGTTTTTAAGATTGCTCGGCTTTAAAATACACTAGTCGGTAGAGCCAAAAGCTCCAAATTTAGGGTGTTTTAAAATCTCTTCTTGTGGTACCTTTTCGAGGACTATGTCTACTTACTTGTATTTAACATCCCAATTAAAAAACTGGTGGCTGTCTGAATTGGATCTGCTTACATCTGAGACCTATTTAGTGCCTATCACCATCTCTGAAGGCGTGTAGAAGATAGCTCCACTCATGGAGAACAAACGGCCTGGGAGGCTTCATGTTTGAACAGACAACTACCCGGTCAAGATGACGATGGAATCGGTAAAAAGAATTAGGGATTATCTAGTTAAGGGCACATTTAAACAAGTAGCACGTAGCTAATGAACTCAATAGAGATAAGTCTTGGCCTGATATAATGTATTGACACTGCTTAAATATAGCAGAGTCATATCAACTAGCTATAAAATATTAAGAAAAGACAAAGGTTCTTCCAATCAGTTAAGAATCATAAAATTGATTCCAATAATTATTTACAAAAATAAGTACTTTTATATCTAGGCAACGTCGCGCTTGCAAGTGAAGTCAACGCCTGTAATTGTAACGTGCAAAGTCATCTCCAATGTCTCAGTAACCCAAGGTAGTGTGGAAGAGCATACTGCTTACAAGCATACAGCAGTATATGGAGGCAATCGCATTAGCAAAAATACAAACTACAGCGACTAAGGTTGGTGCGTAGTTAACTTTTTAAAGGAAGTTTGAAAAGTTTTGCCAAGTCACTTAATTTGACGTCACTAAATCCCATATTTTCCCAATTCAGCGAGCTTTTCTTCTGATTGCTTAAAACGGCCTCAAAAAAGCTGCCTGTTGTAAATTGCAAAGGCGTTAGAACTTCTCGAGGGCTCGGCTAGCTTGTTAACACAATCTACTTTTCTTATTCCCCTCTCCTCACTTAAGTAAACAGGCATCTTAAAACGATGCATTTGTGCTCACGTGTTGCCACTGTGTGTGACAGGAGCATCATCTTCGAGGACGTTCGGATGCTTGCAATTTCCCCTCAATTCCTCACACGCCCTCAACACGACAATCTCACTCATCCACTTTACAACTTTGGTGGAAGACTCTGACATCCTAATTGATAATCTGTCAGAAGAGAACTTTTATAAACTGAATTTAATGCTGATGGTACCTCCTTTGTAGTGTTTTGTCCTCGAGATAGCTGAATATTTGTGTATCATGTCCCCACAAACACGCTAAAAAAGACCGCTTTTTGGTCAAACTTTTGCTTGAATGCTTTTTGGGTGATTGGTGTAAGTATTTTGTGCCTGTGAGTAATGCCGTTGATGCCTTAATGCGCCACTCAAGTACGCAGACTTGGCATCATCCATCGTGTGTCTGTAGTCGGATTCGGCCAAGGATTCTAAAAATTGGAATCGTACACATTGGTATTTCACACCTTATGGTTGCCGAGTCCAAAGAGCAATGCAACTTAGTTTGCAAATGTTTGCTGATTATTGGGGAATGCATAACTGAGCGGTTTATGACGACCTTCTTCCTTGGCGTGAGGAACTTTTACTTATGCCTTAATTAATTATCACTCTGGGGTAGTAAATGAACCTAGAGTTTGTGGTGTCGGAGCCAACTCTAAATCAAGCGAGCAAGACTTCATTGGTATTGTCTCAGCCTCATTTTGCGTCTCTTCAGGCCTTTTATGTAGTTTACTACTGACTTCGTAGAAGCCTAGACTTGCAAACGACTTGGAAGCCTCCGTCGTTGAAGGCGGGGAAGGATGAATCTATTACGGCGGATCTTGTGCTGTAATTTATCGCTCTGTAGTGCGCGTATCCAAAGAGCTGTCACGTAGCCCTGATGTATTGCATACTCAACACAGACATGGAGCAAGTCAGGTCAAATTTTCTTTCTTTCCGCTAAACCTGATGCATTTAACATTTCTTTTCCTTCTGCTGTTGTTTTTACATCTTTGAACATAAAAGTAGAAGTTCGTTGATGCTCTACTTGCTAATAAACAAATTTCCCTTTAAAGCCAATGACAGACAAGGTGAGATGGGATTT